GAATGTATTGTATTTGACCATCATAAATTTTATCTGTCTGATGATGACATTGCCTGTGAATGAGCTAATCTGTTGAGGCAGTTTATAGTCTTCCTGGAAAGGATCTGAAGTTGTAAATTACTTCAATTGGTTTATAAAAAAATTTCTTCATTTATTCTTGTTATAAGCTTCTATCTTTTACCATCAAGCTTGCTTTACATCTTTTTGCTTTTTGATCTAGAACAGAACTGCCTTTTGTTAAGCTGGAGTAGGAAATTAATGCTGTATAGCTCAAGAAATTTTGAACAGTTCATGTTAATTGTCTATTAAAACTGTGTTTTCTCTATGTAATGCCAATGTTTTATAGCTCTTCTGCAATGGAATGTGCAGTGATTGACAGTAGAATTTTCCTTGTTCTTTTAGACCATTCCTCAGTTTTTTAATCTCAGGATAGTTATTTTTGTGTTCTAGATTCTGATTGCCTTCCTTGATGGTGATGAAATTTATACTAATGTATGTGTGAGTTTTCAACTCCCTGAATGTTTGTTTAACAGGTTGATTATCGCGAATGTTTCAGAGTGTACAACAACCCAAATGTCACCTTGCACTTCAACACAGAGACTGTGGACGTTGTTAGCAATACAAAAGGCCAGATGTCTGGTATTTTAATTCGAAAACTTGATAGTGGGAAGGAATCTGTGCTTGAAGCAAAGGGGTTATTTTACGGTATTGGTCATTCACCAAATAGCCAGTTGTTGGAAGGCCAAGTTGAGCTTGACAGCTCTGGCTACATCTTAGTAGAGGAGGGTACTGCAAAAACTTCAGTTGAAGGTGTATTTGCTGCTGGAGATGTACAGGTAATGCTGCTAAAACTTCTCTTTTCAAAAAAAAAAAAAAAAATTTCTTCAGTTCTTAATATGGCTCAGGACCTGTCAAGACTAATTATGTGCTCTGAATACCTCACTTTAAGTTGTTACCTCATTGTAGGTACAGATATTGTATTTGTTTGATCGATGACAAACTGAAGTCAGTTATCAATGGTTGTTGGACATAGTGAAGAATTTAGTATTTAGGCAAGGAAATGTTTGGAATAAAAAAATATTTTAGAACTTGGGTGAAAGTGTTGCATGCAAAGTAGGCTTTTTTATTGTTGTTTTTTGTATTCTGGGTGGTTTAGCAATAAGTTATTGAGTAGGTCAGAATTCCACCCATAGCTTGAGGGTTATCCTCAATACTATAAAATTCTGAGAGACCTACGTTACGTCCGCATTTGATGCAACTGAAATACTACACATTCCAAATGTTTGGCAGAATTTTGAGTCTATGAAATTCATGAGAAAACATAATCATTCAGTTCCAGCAGATGGTGGCTATAATATTTATTTTAAAACTATGACCAGCATCATGACAGATGATGTCTACTGTTTTTTGGTTTTTAAACAACAGAAAAGTAATGTACAAAGAATTATTAAGCACATCCGATAAGCATGCTTGATGGGGATTTTTGTTGTTGCATTACATCTGCTGGACCTGCTTCACATAAAAGTAGTTATATTGCTATTCAAATTCAAACCCGTGTTCTGCAGTCCAAAAAGAAAAAAAGAAAAAGAAAGATAGATTAAGCTGTTTTTCTACCCAAAATTGTTCTTTGCTTACAAAAATTCTCAGTTAGATTATCTGTAATCCCGTCTCCTTTACCTTATTAGGACCATGAATGGAGGCAAGCCGTAACTGCTGCAGGTTCTGGATGCATTGCCGCTTTATCAGTTGAGAGATATCTTGTGGGAAAAGATCTCATTATTGAGTTTCACCAGGTATTTAACTTCTAATGAAGTTTATATTTTCTACATGTCTCTAGAAATAATATATTATTTTCATCTGCTGGGTTTTACTTTATTCAGAGGTTTATTAAACCCATACTCTGTGTTTAGTGCCCTCTGGTTGTAAAAGAAATTATTGATAAGCATTCCAACATAAGTTCCATTTAGTTTTGATTTTTATTTGATAATAAAGTTTACTGCACAGTTTAATGTTTACTTAATTTCTTCCACCCCTTTGATATGAAATATAATTATTTTGTCATTTGTGACTGAAATGAATTTTAACATTATTGGCCAAAACAAAAAAAACTAAATTATTGAGGATTTTTTTTTTGGTGGGGAATTATTGAGGAATTAATCTAACGACTCTTTGTTTTCTTGGTAAATGGATTGTGGAATTTTATTTCGATCAATAGTTGAATTTATAGCCTGTGATAGCACTGTTCATAAAAAACATCCTTCTCATCTCTCTACATTTGACAGCCCAAAACTGAAGAGGCTAAGAAGGAACTCACAAGCAGGGATGTTCAAGAAGGTTTTGACATTACTCTTACAAAGCATAAGGGCCAGGCATGTGTTCTTTTACCCATAAGCTAGCATGATCTAATGATTTCATACTAACCAATCAACGATTTTCTTTTTCTTTTCTTTTGGGTTTTAATGATATAAATAATAGTATTTCTATTCTTAGTTAAGATGTAGTAACTTTTTTTGTATTTGCTTTTCAGTATGCCCTACGAAAATTGTACCATGAAAGTCCAAGGCTTATATGTGTACTATATACAGCACCAACATGTGGTCCGTGTAGGACTTTGAAGCCAATTCTTAGTAAGGTATGCAAATTAACTTGCATAAATACCACATGATAATTTAAACTGTCATGATTACTATGATCTTTATACAGGATGTGCATTTGAATATGAATATTTTTGGGACACACGTAATTCAATTTATTGTGTGCAAATCACGTCAAGCATTTGGCTTGGGCAAGTTTTAAGATGGTTGCATGTTGTTATAGTTGAAAATCGAAACCAGATTGTGGGAGATCACAATGTTCTTTCATGTGTGGGACACTGTATAAATCAGATATCTGCAAAATTAAGATGTCTTTGGAATGTACCTATAAGCTTATGTTACCGGCTGGCGCAAATACATGTAAGATTCTCATGCTGGAAGCATGATTGACTGTAGCCAGTGGCCTTTGGGCCTAGTGGCATTTTCTTCCTCGTAGAAATTGATGTGGGATTGTGGGAGGGCGAGTTCGGGAGTTCAGTTCTTGGTGATGCATGTTTACTTGGAAACGAGACGTTTGTCTGCCTTTGCACATTTTCTGTGACAGTAAAACATGCTTTATCATATATATCCGTGAATGTACATGACCAATAGAGGATGTGGTAATCTTAAGCTTTTTTTTCTGATGGCAGGTGATAGATGAATTCGACCAAAATGTACATTTTGTTGAAATTGATATTGAGGATGATCCAGAAGTAGCAGAAGCAGCTGGAATTATGGGTACACCATGCGTTCAGTTCTTCAAAAATAAAGAAATGATCAGGTTGGTTTATCTCTGTCCATATTTTTGTCCCCAATGTGATCCATTCACCACAAATAACTTCATCTACAATGTTGCTCGTTCCTTCGTGGCGCTAATTGTTCTATGCTTGTTTGTAGGACTATATCGGGGGTCAAAATGAAGAGCGAGTATAGACAATTTATTCAAGCAAATAAATGAGAAGATTCAAGACCCTTGGTTGCCTGATGTCCTCGTTTTGTAGTTCAATTTTGTTCCTCCCAAACAGGCTAGCTCAATAACACCTTCAATTTTCACAATTGTATCTTGTATTGATCAACTACACTGTAGATTATTATACATGCAGAGTTGCCAATGCATCGTTACGGTCGATTCTCCAATCCTGTATTTCCGCCAATTTGTAAGTTTGGGAGGGTTTAGCTTCTTTTCTGTTTTTATTTTTGCCTATCCCAATCCCATCTTTCCTTGCGAACTGTATTTATTTCATGTTGATAAACTAATAAAAGTTCCACTTTACACGGATGTTTAGTGTGATCACCCTTAATCTTATAGAAAGAGATTTACAGTGAAATAAATAAGTGAATCAAAGAGGAAGAGTACGGTCGATTCTCCAATCCTGTATTTCCGCCAATTTGTAAGTTTGGGAGGGTTTAGCTTCTTTTCTGTTTTTATTTTTGCCTATCCCAATCCCATCTTTCCTTGCGAACTGTATTTATTTCATGTTGATAAACTAATAAAAGTTTCACTTTACACGGATGTTTAGTGTGATCACCCTTAATCTTATAGAAAGAGATTTACAGTGAAATAAATAAGTGAATCAAAGAGGTAGAGTACAATTACACTATGGAAGTGGTGACCCAATACCCTCTTGAGAAGCTAATGGATTAAGAGTTTTGTGCCTCTTGGAGGAGATCAATGGCTCCTTCCTCAATGGAGCTCTTTTGGCTTTGTGTAGAAAATTTGCCTTGGCATAAAGTCTGTGTGTAAAAAATGATGCTCTCTCCTTGTACTTGAGCACCATATAAAAGATAACTCTTACACAAACTAACAAGGCTGCCAGAGCAGCCAAATCCCACCACTTGGAAATTTTAGGGTTTATCCCATACATATAAAGGAGAACATACTCACCTTTCAACTTCGGTTCTCCAGGAACTTGAGGGTCAAATTTAAGCCCAATCATGTCATTCTTGAACTGACCCTGAGATAAATTTTAAGGGAGTTTCACTAAAATAGCCAAAATGGGGGCTGAAATTATAAAAATACCCAACACCCAAAACACTTTATAAACATACCCAAAACCCATCATTACACACATACCCAAAACCCATTTTGGGTATGTTTCTATGTTTAAATAGTGCTTGGATATTTTTATAAATACATGTCTAGGATTGAGTATTTTTATAAATATCTAAAATTGTAATCAGCAATTAGATGCCAAATCTAAATTAATGGCATGGTAACAAATCTAATTAATGGCATGTTTATTTACCAAGAACTACAGAAGTCAGGAATCGGAAAACTTAGATAAGGTAATCAAGGAATTGGAATCATTCTAATACCCATTCTTGATTAGTAACATATCATAAGATGTAATTAAGGAGTGTTTGGAAGGCCTAATATACTTCTTGATAAACTAATAAAAGTTCCACTTTACACGGATGTTTAGTGTGATCACCCTTAATCTTATAGAAAGAGATTTACAGTGAAATAAATAAGTGAATCAAAGAGGAAGAGTACAATTACACTATGGAAGTGGTGACCCAAGACCCTCTTGAGAAGCTAATGGATTAAGAGTTTTGTGCCTCTTGGAGGAGATCAATGGCTCCTTCCTCAATGGAGCTCTTTTGGCTTTGTGTAGAAAATTTGCCTTGGCATAAAGTCTGTGTGTAAAAAATGATGCTCTCTCCTTGTACTTGAGCACCATATAAAAGATAACTCTTACACAAACTAACAAGGCTGCCAGAGCAGCCAAATCCCACCACTTGGAAATTTTAGGGTTTATCCCATACATATAAAGGAGAACATCCTCACCTTTCAACTTCGGTTCTCCAGGAACTTGAGGGTCAAATTCAAGCCCAATCATGTCATTCTTGAACTGACCCTGAGATAAATTTTAATCCGCAATTAGATGCCAAATCTAAATTAATGGCATGGTAACAAATCTAATTAATGGCATGTTCATTTACCAGGAACTACAGAAGTCAGGAATCGGAAAACTTAGATAAGGTAATCAAGGAATTGGAATCATTCTAATATCCATTCCTGATTAGTAACATATCATAAGATGTAATTAAGGAGTGTTTGGAAGGCCTAATATACTTCTTAATACCTGTATTGACCATGCCGCATAGCTGAGGTAGGACATTGGGTAACGCCAAAAGATCTTTGGAAGGTCAACCAGCCTCCGGAAGAGAAGAGATGGCATCATCATGAATACCTATGTGTATAAACATTTTAGATGGTTGACACTAAGATACTGACGTGTCTACTAACGCATCATATATTATTGTATTAATCAATCACATTACGTGACAGGTGATGTGTACGTTATATTCATACAAAAGATGAGGTAAAAGCAATGATATTAGGGTTACCAACTCTTAGTTACAAACTAGTAACATGACATTTTTTCATCAATAAACAAATGAAGTTTAATGTAAGGCCACAAATCAGCAAACAAAATACCGTTGTACTAGTTGAGGTGATATAATTGATATCTCTAGCATTACTTAGTTGCAAAATACAGTTTTTGTTACTATTTTATAACCGAAAAGTGAGGTTTCGCTTACCGTCACACCAGCTGCGACTCCTATGCCCATCAACAGATTTGGAACTACGGCTGCAACGATTAAGGCAGTGCCTTCTGTGACAGCAATGCAGCAGAAGAGATTGAGACAAAAATACAAGTAATGAGAGAAGCCGGAATGGAATTTGACCATGTAGTATAGGATTGTTCCAGAAGAGAATGCCATGGCAACTACGAAAGGAAGCGACGACAGGAAGTTGGAGAGCACAAACAGAGCATCCCCATAATGCCCACCAAGTCTTTCACGCCTAAACACCTGCAAGCCAACTTTGAAGTTATATACAACTGAATTTAGGATTGTTCCAGAAGAGAATGCCATGGCAACTACGAAAGGAAGCGACGACAGGAAGTTGGAGAGCACAAACAGAGCATCCCCATAATGCCCACCAAGTCTTTCACGCCTAAACACCTGCAAGCCAACTTTGAAGTTATATACAATTGAATTTTTGTACTTACGAGCTTCAAGAGTTAATGCCCCACAAACTGTTGTGTTAAGAAGATGGAATAAACAATTTAATAAAAAAAAGGTTGGAATCAATGGTGGACCCAAGAAATTTTATAGGGATAGGCTAAATTTTTTTTTACGGGAGATATATTATAAGCCTTTTTTCTCTTGAAACAAAAATGTAAATAAAATTTTATAAATCAAAGGAGGCCACATTACGAGCAAATATAACACAAAGAGCACAAAATATAAATAAATATAAAATCAAACACATTTTTCAACTACTTGAGATCCGAGTTGAATAAGTTTCTCAGGAATTAAGTATCAACATTAGATGCAGAAGGTGTATCCTTGTTATCGTTACCACTTTTTTTGAAGAATGAACCCTTAGTTTTTCCTCTCTTTGTCGGTTTATTATCATCATATGACATGATATCCTAACAAGAAATAACACCAAAAATCATATATACTAATTAATAATTCAAGTTGCAAAAATAAAACATATATAACAATCACCAAAAGTTTTCACCCAAACCCTAAATTATAAAAACTTAACAACAACAATTAAAATTGGAAATTGAATAAAAAAAAAGAGAAAAAAACTTACCAAGATTAAAGAACCCACTGAAGATAGGTTGGTACAATTTTTTAGAGGGGGAGAGCTATTTCTTCTAGGCTCTGAAGGTTCAAATATGACGTTTTCGGTGGCTAGAAGAAAAATTCTGATGTTTGCTTCTAATCAAATTTATATAGGTTATGGATTGCATGTTACTATTTCCTATATGCTTCAAGAGTGGGTTTATTTCTACATAGAGAGCCGGGCTTATTTTAAATAAAGGGCTAGACTACTATTTACTTTAACTATATCTGGCTTAAACCACTAAGACTACAATTTAAAAAAAAAAGAAAAGCATTGGGCTGGAGGCTCCTGCCCAATGTAGATTCTCCCTTGGTTGGAATAAACTTACACTAACACTCTTCGAAGTTTTTGGTGTTTTCATACAAAAATATGAGGTTTCGGAAATTACACTAATTCCTCGATGGTTTCAAATTGTCTTTACAAAACCCATTGCGTTAAATTCTGTCTTGAGGTTAAGTTTTTCATTTTGAGAAGCTTTTGTGATGACATTAGAAATTTTTGGAAAGAAAATGAACAGAATGGGTTTAATGAAAACTATTTTTAAACATCGGAGATTGTTAGTGTAATTTCCGAAACCTCAGTTGTCTTATGAATACAATGAATACCTGAGGGGCATTGTGTGTATATAACTCGATAAACTGTTACTGGTAATGTTCTTTTACCACACTTATGTTGCCAAACTATAGAATCAAACTGATGAATTTTCGCGATTCACAGACTAACAATGCAAGTATCGAGGTGAAAAAAATCATTTGTGCGAATTAAGGATGAGGCTTCATGTCTACCTGTAATTCTTCAATAACAAAGGGTATGCCTCCAATGGACAAGCAGATCATGAGACCGTAGATGAAACCATCACACTTTCCTCTTGCCACGATTGCTTGATAGTTTGTCCCAATCTTGAAAAAGAAAGAGCCAGCACTCACTGCAACTAAAATGTAAAACACACTCCTCAACCAGTAGTACCCAATATCTCTAGACATATTCAGTGAAGATCGGCTAATCAATGTGCATAGCTTCCTCCACCAGCTGCTACTATTTTCCTTGTTTGAATTTGTGGCAGGTTTGTCCTGCAATGTTAAGATTTCTCTCATCCTTTTTCTTGCGTTTGATGAAAATTTGGAGGACTTGTATTCATTGATGAGTTTTCCTTTGATCTCATCTGTTGTCAAATTCATTTCGGAATTTAAAGAGCCTGATGATCCCTGCCAAGACAATCCCAAAAACAATTCATTAATAATAAAGCAAGCAAAACCAAACCCTTCTGAAGAAAAATTAAAGAAATTTACGTACATAATTAATTCTTTGAGATATCATAAGTGCTGCGATAACTTGGTCAAAGTCTGAACTAACACATCGAAGAAAGTGGTCTGGAGGATTTTTTCTTGTTGGACAAGGAAATCCGGCATCCGCGAAGAACTGAAGAGTAAGAATAGAAGAAACCATCAATTAATTAGTATGTCTGTCACTATCTTACTTGTTAGAAATATGCGATCGGTGTTCAGATTTTGAGAAACGAGATATCGGTGAACAAATTTGGCGACTCTATTAAGAAACAATAATCTTACCTTTACAGCCATCTTTGCTTCTCCAAAATAAACAGTTTCACCTCCTGCTAGGAGAAGCAGATCATTGAAGAGATTAAACACATCGCTACTCGGTTGGTGGATGGAGCAAATGACTATCCTTCCATCATGAGCAATGTTTCTTAATGCCAATATCACAAAGAAAGATGAAGCACTGTCCAGGCCGCTGGTGGGTTCATCTAGCAACAAGACATGAGGCTGTGTTAATATTTCAATGCAAATGCTAAGTCTCCTCTTTTCTCCATTACTTATACCCCTCAAATGCCAGTTTCCAATGTTGTTTTCAGCACAATCTTGGAGACCCATTTTTGTGAGTGTCTCATCTACCACCTCATTCTTGTCATCTTTAGTCATTGTAGAAGGAAGCCTGAGATGAGCTGAATATTCTAGGGTTTCTCTGACTGTGAGTGATCCCAGGAAGAGGTCTTCTTGAGTTACATAAGACTGAAAATGCATGCATATTAATATTATAATTACTTTTTAAAAAAAAATTAATTACTTCATGTTAATTCTAATTAGGCTTACAATGTCTCTGCAGTTTAACCTTCTTTTGTTGCCGTTGTGTATAACATCTCCGGACATTTGAACATTTGCAGGTAGTCTACCTGTTAACAAATAATAAGGAATTCTCAAAATATTATAGTTACCAGAAAAAATAACTCAAGTGTGAGACGGGCATGGTTATAGAAAAAAAAATTTACACGAAGGGATGAAAGATTACTCCAAGGATCATCCTTGGACAAAAAATATGTCAAATCAGACATCATTACTCATCTAAATTCTAATCTCATGATAGAATAACTAGACAAATGCAATATTTCTTATAAACAATACTAGCCTCTTTGCACGTGTTTCCGCAACTGCGAGAGACTTTTTAAAAGTTTTTTAAAATTTATTTTAGAATTAAAAAAGATAATGGGTAGTTGTGTTCCATAAAAATAGGATCCATTATCTGATTTTTCTTTTAATTTTACTTTTTTTTAATATGAAAAAGTGTGAATTTACCATATTATCCTCATTTAATTAATAACTTCAATTCCTTCAATTCTTAATGTTTGCATTAACTAAGGGCAATATTCTAGTATTTTGAATGTTTTACCATTCTCTGCCTTTTGCTTTATATATATAGTAGCCTCTTTGCATGCGCTTACGCGCCCGCGAGAGGCTTTTTAAAAGAAAAAATTAAATTTATTTTAGAATTAAAAAAGATAATGGGTAGTTGTGTTCCATAAAAAAAATCAAATAATCCATGAATAGACCTAAAAAATGAACAGTTCTGATCATGAGAGAACATTACGAAGTGGGTCCAAATAAGTAGTTAGCGTTGTATTAAGTTACTAACTAGCCATGCAAAAATACAAGGAGAAACCCTAGACCAAGCTAGGGAGAGAACCAAAACCTTGCACAAAGCAAGGAGAGACAAGATCCAGCGAAAAAAATTAGATGGGAATAACTCTCCACAACATATTAGGGGGGGAGGGGTGAAGCCCGGGACTAATATATATACCTATGGGTTTTTTTTTAAAAAAAAAATGTTAAGGATGTCCTTGTTTCAAGGTTATATATCCCTGCAAAAAGAATTGTCCAGATTGGAAATATTCGGGTCATCCAAAATGTGCAGAAAAAAGCACAGGTCGTTAGATAAAATAGAAATAAAAATGTGGATAATCAAATGGCTGAACAATTTCCGATTTAGTAGATTTTTTTTTGCATGAATCATGCTTGAAAGAGAACTTAAAAACTGGATGGTTCTGATGGTTGGATTACAATCCAAAAATTGGATGTCCTGTTTTAAGAAGTAGATATCCTTAGGGAAGAAAACCCGCTATATACTAATTAGATAGATAAGTGACCAACTGACACCAACTGACCTTTGCTCAAATTGTAGTTGTGTGCATTAATTTTGGTGAATAGTATTACTATTACTTGAGAAATCATGAGAGAGAGAGAGAGAGAGAGAGAGAGAGAGAGAGAGAGAGAGAGAGAGAGAGAGAGAGAGAGAGAGAGAGAGAGAGAGAGAGAGAGAGAGAGAGAGAGAGAGAGAGAGAGAGAGAGAGAGAGAGAGAGAGAGAGAGAGAGAGAGAGAGAGAGAGAGAGAGAGAGAGAGAGAGAGAGAGAGAGAGAGAGAGAGAGAGAGAGAGAGAGAGAGAGAGAGAGAGAGAGAGAGAGAGAGAGAGAGAGAGAGAGAGAGAGAGAGAGAGAGAGAGAGAGAGAGAGAGAGAGAGAGAGAGAGAGAGAGAGAGAGAGAGAGAGAGAGAGAGAGAGAGAGAGAGAGAGAGAGAGAGAGAGAGAGAGAGAGAGAGAGAGAGAGAGAGAGAGAGAGAGAGAGAGAGAGAGAGAGAGAGAGAGAGAGAGAGAGAGAGAGAGAGAGAGAGAGAGAGAGAGAGAGAGAGAGAGAGAGAGAGAGAGAGAGAGAGAGAGAGAGAGAGAGAGAGAGAGAGAGAGAGAGAGATACCAGCCAAGGCATCAAGTAAGGTAGATTTTCCTGAACCAGAAGGACCCATGAGGGCCATAATCCGGTGAGGTTCAGCGAAACCACTAATCCCATTCAACAGCTGCTTTCTTGAGGTTGCATCATTTCTCAAGTTTTGAGCAGCCACCACCGTTATGTCTTCCCACACCAAATACTTCCCTGCAGAAGCCGATCTTTTATCCTCTTCAATCATTCCCTCAATATAACCACTCGACCTCTCTGCCATTTGTACAGGCCAACCAAATATGTAAATTTACTCACTGCAATGCAAACCCTAGAAATAATAGTGTTGTTGAGTTCTTCTACAGAGCCTACGTGTTATCTTATAAATACATGGCCAAGGGGATCAGTTGTAAAGCCTAAACACGTTCTCTCATTATGCAGTATGGGCACGCCATTAATTTCGTTATGGTGAAATATAATCAAATTTGGCTTGCAATAATTGCATGGACACTACTGCAAGCATACTGAGTTTTCGAGGGCCCACGTCTTTTACACCTCCATGCGTTCTGCACTGGTACTCTTATTTACTTTGTACTTGTTTAGGTGTGGATATGGTGATGGTTGATGGGTGGTGGAGATAGATCTGTATCTCATAAAGTCAAAGTGCTGCCCCACACAACAGATCCATTGAGATCCTTCATTTTCTCTGCTTGGATTTTCTATGTCATGATCTGTTTGACTTCTTTCATGCGTACGACACCTCATTAAAATTTTATCCAAAGGACTTAGTTGACACATCATCTTTAAATCATAACCCAATTTTCTCATAATTTTAAAAGAAAAAATCCAAGTGAAACTTCATTAGAAAAACTAAGACAACATCTAAAGTACCAAACCCAATAGGGCAACAAACTAACATACTCATTCTTCCCTTTTCTGCAACGTCTCTCCGGAGAAAGAAACCCAAATGTTGCTGCGAAGAAGAGTGGAAATAATTATTGAATTGGAAGATACGTTGAAGAAAAAAGAAAACGATTTTTTTTAATTATAAAATATATGTGTCAACAGCCACAGACCAACAAGAGAGATAAGAGCATCTACAATCATGCTCCCTATTTTTTAGTTAAAATTTAGCTAGAAATACACAAAAGCTATTTTAGGAGCTCTCTATAAAATTTGAACTCCAATCATACTCCCTAATTTAGGGAGTCATAAATACTATAACTCTTTTTTAATTGGTCCATTTCTATAAAAATAAAAAAATAAAAAAAATAGCATTAATTAAAAGTTTAAAATATACATAAAACAAAGCAACATTAAACTATAAGGAGCCTCTAGGAGTCCTTTCTCTCTCCTTAGATTTAGGTGCTCCTAGAGGTCTTCCTATTTTAGGAGGTGAATAGGGAGCATGGTTGGAGTTGTATTTTTCCAACTCCACCCTAAAATTTGTGTAAGGAGGTGGGTTAGGGAGTCCATTGTGGATGCTCTAAGATTGGGGAGGGGAAGCTAACATGTTTGGATTGGCAAAGAAAAACAGTTGTGTCAGCCGGTGTGCAAGTTATCTTATCCATAGTTAAAAGATAGTTATATTAGCAGTAAGGGCAACCCATAGCTGGATCCATTTGTAGAAGGTTGAATCCAAAAATTGATATTTGAGTAAGGGGTTGTAGCTCAAGTAGTTAAGAGCACATACTCCTACAAGGATATTGAGAGCATGTGCTCGATTAAAAACTAGTGACGGATACATGAAATTTTCCCCTTGGGGTTTCCCTGCCCTGCCTTAACCCTCTCGGAGGAACAGCTTGCCCTGTGGCAGCTATACTAAAAGGAAAGCATCCATGAAAATGATAGGCTTTCCCTCGCTTTTATGTGTGTCCACCATTGCCTAAATTTGTTGACAAAAAACTCCTAAACTTCTTAAGGGTAATAAATTGACGGTTTTATTAGCACTCCAAAAAAGTCATTCCACACTCCTCGAAATATAATTTCTCTAATGTTTTTATAACATAGGAGTGCATGATATAACTCTTTTAGACCGCAAATAATAGTTTCCCAAATTAGTATAATATTTTTATTTCAGTATTTTCTCTATAGCCTATCCTTGTCTTGCTCTTATTCCTCTACGAACATCTTCCTTGTCCAAGCCCAAGCCCAAACCAAGAAGTGATGACAATTTTCGTTTCCTACCTAAATATCCTTACGAATTTTTTTATTTTATTTTATTTTTATCGAAAATATCTATGGATTGAGAATGAAACCAACAAGAAGATCTTCACATGCTACGTCCCAACAGTACAAAGTTGTTTCCTTGAAGTTTAGTTCACTATATCAATAACCTAACCAAAAGGTTTGATATGGGGTTAATGGGATCCATCTTACCAATTTAATAAATAAATAAATAATAGAGTTAGGGTTTATAAGCGCTATTTGATTTAGCTTCGATTGCATGATTCATTGCAGCTACATTTTTCAAACTTCAGATTGAATACAAACACAGAGGCCCTTTTAGAGTGGACACAAATATGAACCATCCAAACCAAATTTGGATACTTTGATAATTCTATCAAATATGAACAAGTTTTCTCAATACAACATAAATAAAATTGAGATCACTGATACAGGTGAGTCAATATGATACAAGGGGGCCGCACATATACAAGTCTATTGATCGAAACGTTAAAGAAACAGAAGTTAAAATTAGAGAGGGTCTTCATGGAAAAGTAAGATGTTTCATGAAAGCGGACTAGCTTCTGGGACATCATCGAGGATGAAAGGGCCTAACTTACCCGTCCTAAATAAGGTAAGGAATTTCTTTGATACCATCAAGCGAGCTTCAGACCCCTTATTGGGTATCTTTAGTGCCTTCTGCAGTGCTTCAAACTGCTGTTCTATAAGTACCTCCAAGTCAATCTCATCTTCCATGTTGCCATTGAATTCTGACAAAGTCGAATACAGAGCACGCTGCACTTCAGTTACAAGATCCTGAAAAGCAACATGAACAATACTAGTATTTTAAAAAGCATACAAACATAACAAATATTGGCTAAGTCACCAAGGATACTTATCTAAGCTGCACTTAAAAAGTGTCAAAGAACTAAAAGTTAATTGCAAAGTCACAGATTACACGTGTGGAAGGAAATTTAAAATGGCTAGTGTGAGAGTAGTAGTGGTTAGTGAACAAATAAATTAAAACATATTCTCAAGACTTAAATACATGCTCCAGATACAGTACCTAAAAATTACAAATTTAAAAGAAATCTCTTTGCTAATTATCACAAAGATAAGTGGGGAAATTGGATCTTGTCATATCTTTGTCAGCAAACCGTATACTTCAACCAACAATTTATTTCTCAATGACTGTCAAATATCTTTAGTACATAAAATCTAATATTCACTTTCCCTTTGAAAGATCATCGATGGGTTACTCATTATTTGCTGTAATTTACAAAATGCTTTCTCCAAGTCAAAGCATAGTCTTAGTGAAATTATTAAAAGGAAAAAGATAAAAATGAAAAACTCATTATTATTTTCAGAAATTATACTAACTTCTCCTGTTAGCGTTGAAAGTGAGTAAGCATCAGAGGTTTGAAATAATCAGCAGTAAAAGTTGGAAAATAATCAAGCATTGTGGTGCATAAAGAAAAATACAAACACGAATATAGTAATTTCCGTTACCTCAACGTACAGCACATGAGACTTAGTTGGCAGCTTCCTCCTACTAGGTCGAAGATTTTTAAGACTGTAGTCAACTTTTTCCTCTGCTTCATATTGAATCCCTTCCATTCTCCTATTATTTGAGTTCTTCCAGTGAAAGGGTGTCCCTCGTGTATTTAAAACTGCAAGCAAGTATTGAGCAATTCGATCCTCCCCTACAACCGAATCCTTAATAGATCCTGCACGATGAGGTTCAGTGAGATGCAGTACACTGACAAAAGTTACAAAAATTTCCCCCTAAGTTTAATGATTCATCCCTATTTATGATGCACGTGACAAATTTTTTTTTTCAAATGGAAGTTGGAACGCCAAAATTTGATAGTAAGCTAATCAGAATTCATTAAACATGGATCTTAAACTACCAAGAGAGGCGGTCTGACCCCATCTTTAAATTTCCTCAATACTGGACCGTTCTCCATTGAAGCCAACAGCTAAAAGCCATTAAGCTATTAAAGTACGAATTCGATTAATACAATGAGAAGTGTACAACCAAGCCTATAAGGAATCTGAACAGAGAATAAAGGAAATTGCCAACAAAGTTGAAACAGACAATTTTCAAAAGAGAGATATTAAGGTGATTGCCAAGCCAACAGAGTTGAAACAGCATGTATTAAAGTTGCATACATAGAAAGGACTACAATTCCTAGAGAAACTTTCTAAGTCATGCCATCCCAACAAATGTAAGTCTAAAAAATTCAAAACACCTTTCAAATGCCACGGTAATAAGAAATTCCAGAGAATTTATCTGAGAAAGGACAAACCTGCAAGAGCTAGCTTTAATCCTGTCTCTATGTCCGGGATGCTTGGAACCAACACACCTGGAGTGTCAAGAACATATATGCTAGGCTGATGAGCAATCTGCACATAAACAATTCAAAAAAGTTAGGGAAAAGGAAGACGATTTTCCATCATCAAATCTGCGAGATGAAGGAAACAGAGGAATAGAGAACTATAAAAGAAGTATTAGAAGACAAAAGAAACAAACACTAAGAACTAGATAGATTATTTTTTTCGTTTTCAAGATGGGAAGGGTCAAAAAGCGTTTTCTTTTTTAAGTATCTTATTCACCGGCTAGTCTGTATTTTCAGTGCAGCATATAATGAATAGGAAAAAGAAAATCAATAACAAAAATGACTTAACCTTGAATCCAGCAATGTCTTGAGTAACACCAGGTAATGGGCCCACTGTAGCTCGCTTCATCTTACCCTGCACTATGAAAGAAACTCCAACACTGTCATTCCTCAATGTGTATTGCCTGAACTCCATGGATATTAATAATTGAAACACATTTCCATCAATATAGGATTCACAACAACCTCCTCTAACATGAAGAACTCACCGGGAAAGCGAGAAGATGCAATCCGATGAATATTATTGATTAGAGCTGATTTCCCAACATTAGGAACGCCAACCACCATAACAAGCAGAGTAGGTTCCCTTGAAATGGCTTCCTTCAGTTTATACTCCACCAGCTCAAGAAGCTTTGACAAACCAGTGCACATTTCAGGGTTTTGAACCCAAAATAAGAAATATCAAATTCAAAGGCAAAAACCAATACCTTTGAAACAGAGCTCTTGCTGTGTGCATTCATGGGAAGGCAATCTTGATTGGACGATTCGA